TAAATAATAATGGGTAAAAAGCAAGCAGCAAAATATAATAAATATGAATGAACTCCTAAGCAGTGGTCACAGTGATAGTTTAGAAATATCCAATGCAAACATACACATAATATATTTGAAGGAATCCACCCAATGCTTAAAGAAAAACAAATGCTTTAATGAACATTAGCCCACAGTAAGCTACATTAAAAAATCCCAATGAATTCTTATGAGAACCTGTGTAACAACCGATGTCATAGTTATACCACAAGCAGCAAAAATATAAAAATAAAAATGGAGACTACCATAAAGAATTTGTCTTTGAACTAAAATTCTAGCACATGATCATATTCAAAGCTAAGTATATTATTTATCCCAAAGTTTGAAAACCCGACATCAGAGCTAGAATTCAGAGGACTCTCTTCCCCAACGGCATTTAGTGTGTTAGGAACTGAGTCATCACTATCTTCAAATAATAAACCGTCCTCAGACTCACCAAGGACATTACTAATTCCACCTCTTGCTTATAGTATCCCATTCAGTTTTAATTCACCCACATGTCTGTGAAGTAACAGAGTGTCACTTCAACATCTTAAGACTTCACCTACTTGTGCTACTCCCCCCTCACAAACACATGAAGTGATGTGTTGACAGGGAAACAGAACCAACAGTCTGACCTCCTGCGAGTTGAGCTGGTAGACTCTTCTATGGGCCGATTCTCCCAAGGAGAACTGTATTGGGGTCAGGACAGGAAAAGCTGAGAACAGGGGGGAGCTTTAATAGGACTCACGTTGCTTATCCATAAGGTCTTGTGTCTTTCTCATCATATGATCTTTCAGCTGGGTATTATACATTTTCTTAATATTTCCTGTCATGACCCCTGCACACTTTTCCTATAGAGATTATATTTGCTGGTCTTTAAGTCCTATTTTCTTACTAGATGGTAGGGCAAGATAATGTCCCATGGTGATATTTCATGAACTCTATAAAACTAAGCTTCTAATGTTATAGCAGTATCTTGGCTGCTTTTGACTCACTGGTTATAGCAGTAAGAAATTTCATGCTGAAAATGAATGAGGAGAATGCAAATTCTTCATATGACTGCCTGTGTGAGCTATGCCTGGTTACTTTCGGTATTTCTGGATGTGGAATTGGCATCTATTTTGCGATGTCTCTTGCCACGCTCTGCTGCTGAGAAGCATCTGTACTGTTCTATGGTTGCCCACATCAGTTAAATGCAAATGATCTTTTTCTTTTGCCTGTTAATGCTATTTATTGCATCTCTGTTTTCTACTTCATTTATCTACATTTTTTGAAACAATCTCAAAGTTACAGAAAAAGTTCCAAGTGCAGTACAAATAACTATTTTCCAGAACTGTTTAAAAGTATGCGGTGAATAAGGTGTTCCAATGCCCTGAGAATACTTAGCATTTTCTACAAGAATAATCTTTTACATAACCACAACATAACCATCAAAATCAGAAAACTAACAAGGATAATTTACTGTGTCTTACCCTAAGCCCCATTCGAGTTTCCCCAGTATCTCAATAAAGTCCTTTTTAGCAAAAGGATCTAGCTTAGTCCCTTGTATTTCATTAACTGCCAAGTCTCTTCAGTCGCCTTCAAAGTGAATTCCTTCCTCGATCCTCAGACTTCCAAAGATTACAGGCCAGCTAATTTTTAGAATTACCTCAGTTTGGGTCTGTCTCATGTTTCCTCATGATTAGATTTGGATTATGAAAGTTTGGCTGAATAACACAGAGGTGATGCTATGTTCTCCACCCATCCTGTCAGGGGGTGCGCGATTGTGATTTGTAGTGTTACTGATAGGGTTCACTTTCATCAGTTGCCTGGCTTTTTCACTGTTAAATTACTTTTTTCCACTTTGCAATTAATGAGTATATTGTGGGGAGAGACTCTGAAACTATGTATAGTCAATTCTAGTTACATTAGTAGTAGTAAGTAGGTAGTAGGTAGTTATGCTGTACAAAGTTGCCACCAACATTGTTCCTAGGGAAAATACAGGGTGAGGTTCCTGTGAGCTTCTGGTCACAACATTTTTGTTAACTGATCAGGTTATAATAAATAACTTTATTTTATGTGTGTTTCTGCTTAAAGGCATCTTATTTAATATATACTGATAATTCGTTAACATTGAACTCAGGGCCAACAGCACTATCACTCATGCCTGAGTGAAGTTTCTCTAACATGTATTTTCTCCATAAGGCACATCCAGCTTTCCTGCACACAGAAGCCACAGCTAGCACTCCAACTCTACGCTTGGGGACCACCATAACAGTGAATCCTCAGCAAACTGCGCAAAAAACTTGAAAAACATGGCACTGATTAGAATGCAAACAAGACATCTCTTTACAGTGTGATGGCTGACACAAGAAGGCAGAGCATGGCCTTGGTTGACCTCAGCTGGTGATGTGCTGGACAACTCAAATTTTTCACTGTTCTCCACAAGTCCAAGTAGGCAAATTTGCAAGTAAGGAATCTGGGAATAATGAAGACTGACTGTGAATATTATGTTTCTGATTCATACTTACAATGTATTAATTTAATAATGCATATCAGTATGAACTCAAGGATTTCTACTTTATTCAGCTGGTTATAATCTGTTAATAACAACATTCATTTTGATGCTCAAATTGTCCTCGATCTGGCCAATAGGAACCCTTAAAGCTGGCTTCCCCATTCTTCCTTGAACACTTCCTTAGTCTCTGGCACAAGAGGTCCGAGGTTCATCATGTACTTTCCCTGCCCCAGGCCTGCAACCAGCCATTTCTCAAAGGAGCCCTGGTTTCTTTTAGTGGAGGAAGGAATTTAGAAACCAAGATCTAGAAACTAGGCACACTCATCACTATAAAATACACACATACACACAGATACATTATATTTACAGTTGTCTGGGATTGGTTCCACAATCCCTCATGAATACCAAAATCCATAGATGCTCAAGCCCCTTATACAAGACGGTGTAGTATTTGCATATTAACTTATGCACATGCTTCTGTAAACCTGGAGTCATCTCTAGATTGCTTATAATACCTAATACAATGTAAATGCTACATAAATAATGGTCATACTGCATTGTTTGGGGAGCAGTGACAAAAAAAAGTCTGTATATGTCAGCACAGATGTAATCTTCCATTTTTTTCCTGAATATCTTCCAACTGTGAATGGTTAAATTTAGGATGCAGAATGTGTGGATATGGATAGCCAACTGTATTGCTACTTATTACATTTATACTTATTTCTGTATCTGCCTATAGGTTGAAAACCATGAGTTCACACCAGTATCTCCTATTCCCAAACACCACAGTGTTCACTCTAATTTCACATCTGCCATTGACCTCTTCGGCCATAAAAAGCCTAGCACCCATGATCCTTAAAAGGTCTACTGATCAGATTAGCCCCTGTAAGTAACCAGTCTTTTCTTGTTGCCCCCTCTTTTCCACAACGCCCCAACTCACCCCCAGAGGATTCATAAGCTCAGACGTCCTATACCAGATCAGCCCTCTCTGTAGGAATGAATGCCCTTTCCACCACATTCGGGCTTCAATAGTCTACATCATACCACTGCCTCCCCCAAAGGAATGACCTTCTCACCCTGCTCCGGGTCCCAGCAGCTTCCTGCTTTCTGCCAAGGACACCTATACCGCCCAGCCCTATCTAATGTCTTTTGGACTGAATTGCTCCAGAAGGGCTGAAAAAGACGGAGAAGGACAACTCAAACAATTTCAATGACTGACTTTTCTATTAATATCTCCTTATTATTTTTAGGTGTACTTTTTTTTTTGAGTTGGAGTCTCATTCTGTCGCCCAGACTGGAGTGCAGTGGCCGCTCCCGGCCCCCGCAGCCTTGACCTGCTGGGCTTTGGCGATCCTTCTGCCTCAGCCTTCCGAGTAGCCGGAATTACAGGTGTGCACTACTGCGCCCGGCTAATTTTTTATCGTAGAGATGAGGTCTTGCCTGCCCAGGCGGGTCTTGAACCCGCGGGCTCAGGCAATCCACTCACCTCAGCCTCCCAAAGGCGCGGGATTACAGGCTGAGCCACCGAGCCCGGCTTTAGGTGTATTTTTAAAATAGAGATCACATTGGCAATTTAGAGCCTAGAGTTAGGCCAATGATTTAAAAATTTTGAGAAACCAATATGCTGTGGCAGAAGTATGGTGTAGATGTCCTCTGACCTTTCATTTGTTGATGAGGGCTTGCTTTCAGTAGTCAGTATTTCAGCAACATAATCGCATTCTCAGTAGAGTGCTAGTCCTAGCAGCTGACTGTACGTGCATTTCCCAATCACCTTTTGACCTTGCACCTGTCATAGTGGAATCTGGGTAGTTTTTGGCAGGGTGGTGGAAATGTGCCTTAATGACCAGCAAATACAAAAATGGCTTTGTTAATATTGTGGGTATACAGGTAACTTCTAAAATTTTTCCTCAATGTTATGTTTCTAGTTTTAGAAAAATAACTTACAAAGGGTCACAAATGAGATCTTATCCTCTCTCTCCTAGGAAGTAAACAGTTAAGATTATTTTATTTTCTTCATGCCACCAGGAATATGTCACTTTCTCCACACTTACATTAATACCCGTAAAGAATGATTGTTGCTACTCTTTCTTTTCCCTTCTGAGGCCCTAGAACAGGGACAGGACACATGGCTATACTTCCACTTCTCACACCATTACTGCATCTAGGCAGGAGTAGCCCAGAAGAGGAAATGCTGAGCTAGATCTGAAGCTCCTTAGAAGCAAGCACTATGACTGCTTACCCTCGTGACTCTACCTCCAGGCTGCTGAATAAACGGACAGATGAGCAAATACGATATTGCCCAAGAGGCTAGGACAGGTTGTCCTTTCATCTCCAACTTTTCCATTTACAGATAGCATTCCAGATAGCGCATTTTTAACAAAAAATTCAAAACTCTCAATGTGAAATCAAACTATTCCTATTAGAAACTGTGAATAGATAAGACTAGCCACCAATTATTTTGGAATAAAAACTAACACACTACCTCTGCACTCGGTACACACGGGTCCACGGAGGCACAAGGGCTAGAATGCGAGCCACCAATTCGATCAGGTCACTAGGAGAATAACTCTTGTATCTTCCAGATTTCCAAAGCTCATAAAGCCCAGTTCCACGAATCACCAGTGTGGGGTAGAGTTTCAGACCATCAGGACGAAAAGCAGGGTTTTCAAAAAACTCCTGTGAACAGAGAACAGAAGATGACTTCTCTGTTAGTTATGTAGAAACCACCCAGGGTAAAGTCTCAATCCTGGGCCAGCTTTTCTCACACTGGGGGCAGCCTTTCCTTCCAATCAAGGAGGGTATATGGATAGAACAGAAATTCCTTGCTTTTGCAGCCTCACTGGAGCAAAGCATGTGCGGGCTGGACTACAAGGTCCTTGCTAATCCAGCCCCCCGTACCATACAATCTCATCTCACGCCACCCTTCACTACCTGGTTTTTCTGCCTCTGCAAAGGCAATTTCCTCTGCCTGGCAAGTTCATCAACTTTTCTTCATCTAGTTAATCTTCACATCTCAGATTGAATGGCCCATCTTCAGAGAGCCTTCCTGACCTTCAAATACTAGCTGCTCCACTTGTAAAAAAAACTCCGGCCGGGCTTGGTGGCTCAGCCTGTAATCCCACACCTTTGGGAGGCTGAGGTGAGTGGATTGCCTGAGCCCGCAGGTTCGAGACCCGCCTGGGCAGTGAGACCTCATCTCTACAATAAATACAAAAAAAAAAATCAGCCGGGAGTGGTAGCGCATGCCTATAATTCCGGCTACTTGGAAGGCTGAGGTGGAAGGATCACCAGAGCTCAGCAGGTGGAGGCTGCGGTGGCCGGGAGTGGCCACTGCACTCCAGTCTGGGGGACCGAGTGAGACTCCAACTCAAAAACAAACAAACAAAAAACTCCACTGAACCCTGTGTTACCTCTTTCCCATCATCACATGACAATCTGCTCAACATCAGCCTTTGGTTCCAGACTATATCCTCCTTTAATAACGGAAGATATTTAATTGCTTAAATTTTTCTAAAGTTGTGACTGAGATCACTGGCTTACAAAATCTGAAATGTTCACTACATGGCCCTTTAAAGAAAAAGTTCGCTGGTCCCTGGATATGACTGTTTTGCCCTCAGGTCAACTGGCACCATTCCTAACCGAGGTTACACACTGTCCCTTTGTTATCTGGACACTGGGTAATGCATCTAGCTCATCTACTTTTGGCACAGTCATTCCTTATATTATAACACGTCGGCTGGCTGCCTTATTTCTTTATTTGGGATGAGGCAAGGAGACACCAGGCATTCTCCTTTCCACGTCTCTGCACCGATAATTGGTTATAATTTTGTTTTGCGTAATACGTATTGGAGAAATGATGGACTCATACAGTTTCCTCTCACCCCCACCTTGACAGCTGTATTTATCTAGTCAGCAGGGCTCCAACTTATAAACTGTAAAAATGCCTCTTGTCTTCTGCTACATTATTCTCACAAAGTTTTCCATTGTTTAACTTGCCTTTCAAAGAAATGTCACTATAGACATTTCGATCTCTCTTATTGATTTCCATCACGTTCTCAAATGCTATATTCTTTGTGTACCATTGGTCTCAGAAATATTCTGTAATTGTGTGATTTTTTCCTACAACATTTTTATATTTTAAAAACCAGGTCTTTAATAAACATTCTGCAGCCATTCCACAAAGACTACGTATGAAATCTATTCTCCACTTAGTCTGAGTCCACATTTAAAGATGGAGCTTCAGGAAAGTACTTCTGATACTGGTGTAGTAAGTTTGGGAGACACACAGGCTGACAGACTCCTTTTAAAAGAATGAAGACAGACTGAATGGGTTCTAGGCTTTTGGTGAAACATGGAGAATTAAAATATCTCTCGCCTTCCCTTCCAAAACCATGCTTAAAAAAACCAGGAAATACCTTTTTTTAAGTATAACATAAAAGAACAAAGAGAACAAGAAAGGAGGCAAGAGAGGGACAAGACATGGTAACACATTTTTCAAAGACAGAAACTGGACAGAAGACTGGCAAATGACTTGGCAAGTGAAGAAAACAGCAGACACCAAGGAAAGGCCAGCTCGGTCACAACCAAGTCCCAAAAAGGCTCATGGATCAGAAGTGCCAGGAACTGAGCAGGAAGAAAACCACGGAATAAAAACAGGGGCACTGGACCTAAGTCGAAGGATTTATCCTTTATTCTTTAGCCTTTCCTATACAGGCAGATGAAGGTTTCGTCCCTGAAGAAACTGGAGGCCTTGGAACTCTGAGATTCCAGGTGCAAAGGAAGACCTGGCTGAGGATCAAGGCAGAAAACAGGAAAAGCAGCACGAAGACTAGTATATTCTGCCCAGCTCCCTGGCAGTCGACAGCCAATTTCCTGTGACATACTCAGGGCAAGCCAGGCCGCCCACCCCAAAGCAAGAAGTTAGAGAGTTCATCTCTGAGTTATGCAAGGGCTCCTCCACAAGAGTTCAAGATATGGACATTTAGGAGTCCCCCAAGGAAAGGAGAGCTTATTCCTACACGATCATTTTTCAGTGAAGCACGCCAGCAGCTGGCCACACAGACCCTGAAATCTGGGTTTTCAGTCCCTCACTCTTAAAGCATGACCATTTGGCTAAGGATCACTGGAAACTTGGGGAAAACTTAGAACATAAAGAGCAAATCAAAACAAAAAAAGACACTTGGAGGAAACAGAGGCACTGTATAAAGAAAAATAAAACTAAAACAAAAAACCCCAAAAAACATAATTTCTTCAGAGAGATAAGAAAAGATAAATTACATCCATAAAACAAGAACAAAAGGGTACAGAACAACCAGAATATAAGAAAGAACTCTTGGAAAATAAAACAATAGAAATAAAAACATATAATAAAAGGTCGAAAGATAAAGTTGAGAAAATACTAAAAGAGCAGAACAAAAAAGACAAATAAATGGAAAACAGAAAAGATAAGAATATTAGCTGATCAATTTGGGAGACCCAATTTTGCTTAATAAGAGGTTGACAAGGAGAACACAGACAATGAAAATGAGAAAATTATCCAGTAATATAAGATTTCCCAGATGACAGGGTCCTTCAATGTCTAACACAATTAATCAAAAACCTCTTCCCAAGATATACACTGCAAAATTTCACAACATATGGTAGAAAGAGAATTTTTAAAATTATTCCAGAAAAAAAAAAAAACCTGAGTATATATTTTATAGGATTAAGGAATAAGTAACATAGGATTAGGAATCAGAACAATATTGGGTCTGTTAAGAGCAATGCTAAAAGCTGCAAGACAATGGGGCAACGATTTAAAAACATCTGAGGGAAAACAATTTTCATCCCAGAATTCTATAAGGCAGAACAGAGATATTTCAAAGGGTTTACTTCCCATGATGAATTTTTTTTTAGGAAGCTGCTGGAGAAAGTGTTTCAGCAAAATGAAGGAGTACACTAATTAAGGTAACTTAGGGTCCAGAAAACAAAGAATCCAATCCAGGAGAGCATGGAAAGGAAGCCCCAAGAAGGAAACCTGTGTACTGGGCCCAGAAAATCGCCAGTCCAGTTTGGAGCTGGAAGACAGGACCTCCAGAGGTTAGGTCTTTAGGCTAAATAGGAACTAGTAAGAATGTCTGAGAAGTTAGGCCACTGAAAGGGGCTTTAACACTGAGTGCGTACATTTGAAAGTTACAGGTACAAAGAATACTGAGTGAATAATAAAAAAAAAAAGGCAACTAATAACTCTACAAAACAACAACAACAACTACAACAAGGTTATTCCAGAAAAGAAATGCCCCCTGACTAGTAATATAAAAAATACTGGGAGAATGAAAGAGCATAAAATAATCCAATCTTCAACTAGCATAACAGTAAGACAAATGAATGTATCTAAAATCAATAAATCCAGAAAGTCAAGCACAGCATTAAGAAACATGTGGTAAATACCAGGAAAGAAAAATCAAATCTGGCTACAGTTTGGTTTCAGAGTTCAAAGTGGCAGAGGACTACTGCTTTTTGATATGACCACTTTATCACCACTGGATTTTTAAAAATTATCTAATAAAGACTGCATTATGCAATAGCATTTATATTATAAAGATTACAAGTTAATAGACATGGCTCTGGTGGCAATGTGAGCGATACAGTCGAAGGGAACATGGCTGGTAGCAGGGTGCCTGGTTCCGAAGCTGTTTGTACAGGCAAGCTGGTGAAAGAGATGAGGAGGACGGCTCTGAGAGACCTCTAGAGGAAGCAACTGACAGGACCTCGTGTTGGACAGGATTCAGGGAATAAGGGAACCCCGACAGCTGCTGCAGCGAGTACTTACTGGGCACTCACTGTGTGCCAGGCGTTCTCCTAAGCGTGTTGCATGAATTCTCTCAGTTAATATTTATAATGGTTACATAATGTAATTGGCCTCATTTTATAGATGAAGAAACTGAGGAACAAAGCGGTCAAACTGCTTGCTACCAAGTGCTGGGACCAGGATTCAAATCAGGTGCAGTCTGGCTCCAGAGTCCGAATATTCTCTACTTCCTTCCAAACGAATCCTAAATTTCTGGTTTGGGAGATGAGGTAGATAGTAAGCCCACAGAGCATGAGAGAGAATACAAAAGAGACCACTGGGAGGAAGAATAGACGCGCCCTTAATATTGGTCCTATTAAGTCTGAAGTGCCTGTTCCACGTCTGGTGTTCCCTGAAGAGCATTATGTAATCAGTCTTGGGAGCCTAAGGCTTAAGGCTGGAGAGAGAAATTTGAGACTCATCAAAGTGTAAGTGGTAGAGACAGAAAAATGGGGGAAAAGCAAGCACGGAGAAGAGAGTAAAAGATAGAAGCCCACGTTTAAGGATTGGCAAGGAAAATAGGATCCTGCAGAAAAGATTAAAAAGAAATAGTCCTAGAGGTAGGAAGAGAACCGGAAGACAGCTGATTCATGAAAGCCCAGGTGAGAATTTCAAAATGGGAGATTGTTTTTAACAACTGCAAATGGTAAGATGAAAACGGCCGCAGAGCAGTATCCTTTAGATTTGGAGATTAGACTTGACAACAGCTGAGAGAAGAGTTTCGGGGAGTGGAAGCCCAGCTGCAGTGGCTGAGTGTGTGGGAGGTGAGGCAGCGGAGACACTGGCGTCTGTGACATAGGCACACTCAGTAACAAGGGAGAGACAGGTCCCATGTGATGAAAGGGAC